ACTTTCTCTCCATACATGTCCACAGCATCCAACTGCATCATCATCATCCTCCACCATAGCACGCAATCAATCCTTTTCGAATGTACCTCCTGCTTACATCACTCGCAGTGGCCGTCACGTTCATTTATCCGATCGTTGAGTAACGCATTTTTCCTAGACTTATGAATATCCTCCGGTGCCGTATTACGTCGCCCCTCGGTCTAGTAGGGGTGGTACTGCGATGAGGTAGCGGACTAATTTGCCTTTCCGAATTTAGTCCCCTTTTCTTTGCCTTGATGGCTTGTTTGAATGTGACGAAAAACAACACACTTGTGCAACCCGCCTTGCTGGCCTGCTTTGCTGTCGCGCGCTGTGCTCAGGATACTTAACATTCAGAATCTCTATATTATTCAATGCTCAGTTTAACTCACCGCCTTTAAGGCTAGGGGCTCGTGAGATATAACTCTTTAGTTCATGAAAACATTACCATTTACGTCACTCAGTAGGCGAAATATAGCAGAACTTTTAGGACTACGTTCTTTGAGGACGACTTCTTGTTCAAATTGTATTTGCCGTGTACCATTGTGTCACATCTTGTTGCCCAGCTCGACAGTACATCAAGACCATATAAGATGCATGTTAATGCACTCTATGGTGACGAGGAACACCAATGGTGTGCCTAGGAATATGCGCATCTATTTAGCGAACAATAAAAGATATTAGGCAAGGGATACTTAGACTTTGCACAGATACACCTCCCGTCTGACATTTTGGACAGATGCTCGAAACCCTAAACAGAGACAGAACCAAACCCTGATTAGTGGACGCGTGGGAGACGCAGAACGGGCCAAGCCGATGTTGCACCGGGTGAAGTATGGGCTACGAAAGTCAGGCCGGGCCAAAGCTGCGTGCAGCATCAGTCGTCGGTTGGAAATGCACGTCAGGTCGACCACTGCGGATGAGCCGCTGTTACGGAGGAGAGCAGTGGGAGGCTGTGGATGAATGGACTCCGACTCAACGCTTAGCTTTCTCACTAAACACGCCGCTGGATTATCACTGCGTGCTAAACCTCCTGGTTAGGAAGTTTAACAGTTGACGGGACAACTCAATACTATTTAAAGCTCGGAGTGTGGCTTTCGTGTCCCTCTCGGGTATGTCAGATCTTGTATCTCCTCTTTATTTGAGGGCTGGTTAAAGTGGATTTGGGAACCGGGTCGGACATGTCACACCCAGACAGGCTATTGAGATTTGTTTCACTTTCAACAAATTCACGCAGAAGTCACCATCGTGCCTTCGCGGATTCTGATAAACATTCTAAGTCAGGGAAGGTCGATGAGTCGGTCCGACATTCGGAGGCAGAAAGTTTAGGTAGATTTGTAGTAAACCCACGTACAATACTTCATAAACTAATGAAACCTTGGACTGCAACTTTTTCAATTATTGCCTCCTCCTCCCCCCCTCGTTTGAAGGCCGACCTTCGCGAGTGACCATGGTCACCATGTACCTCACAGAGTGGGCTCGGAAGACTGCCAACTGACAGAGAACTTGGACCTCGCATTCGGCCCACTTTATGTGTCTACGTGGAGTGACTGAGCGGTGGTATTAGAGTCAGGCTGCAACAGCTCCTCATAATGTGGCCTGTATGGGATCCCATGGACTGAGAGTGCCATAGAGTGGTAGGGAAGCTCACCGATCGTTCTTACGGAACTCACGCGTTCCGTTCTTTGTCGGTAATAACATACTGCCTATATAATGCACCGCTGTTCGGCTGCTGGTTGGGCTCGAGAGAGAGCCCGTAAGACACAATGGAACGGGTGAGTTCCGTAAGAACGATCGATGAGCGTCCCATTACCGTTGTATATTCCCGATCGAACCCGACAGGACAAGGGGCTCGTGGCTCAGTGGTCAGAGGCGTGGACTTCTAACTAACAGGTCGCGAGTTCGAGCTTCGGGTGTTACACACTTCGGGGTTGGGTATGAATGGCTGCCGACGACTAATAAGCCAGAAATAACCATTCCAGTCTCCCTTGTCTTTGTTGGTAATGACATACTCCCTATATCATTCGTCGCTGTGGGGCTGCTGGTTGGGCTCTAGAGAGAGCCCATAAGGCACAACGGCACGAGTGAGTTCCGTAAGAACGATCGGTGTGCGCCCCCTACCATTCTATGGCATTCTCAGTCCATGGGATCGCATCCGGGTATGGCGGCACGCCTAGGGACGGCCCCGGCCTCGCCAGTCGTCGTCCTTTTTCGTTGAGGTCAAAATCCTGGTCAGTGCGTTTTGTGGGCCAGGGTTATCGCTGCAGGCCCAGTCGCACGCCGTCGCTACGCCAATTTAGGTTCCGTGGAGTGCCCCCTTTCTTTTCTTTGGTGTATAAAATGCTGGCAAAGCACTTATTGTGGACCAGGGGTTTGGTGGTACGCCTAAGTGCGAGTGCGGCCGCGCCAGCCACCTACGCCATCTCCCACACAATTCTTTATTCGTATTTAAATAAAAGGGATATTGGCGCGTTGAATCGATTTATTTGAAATATGTGGATAGTAAAGTTAGGAAGTCTGTTTTGCACGCTGAGGGACCCTATCTGATAAAGAGGACGAATCACGGCTCCAAAGCAAGCAGAATGGCCGGGTTTATCCTACGGGATTTTAAAACTAATGACATTAGAACCCGCCTATGTAAAATGTACGGCAGACCTAGCCCAAAATACCATTTGTTTTTCTTTAACCTCCAGAACGCTGCCGATCGGTAGAAAATTGAATCCGTCCAGCTCCGTTTTACCAAAAGAGTGTTAAGTTCGGAACGCCGAAAGTTGGGGTACCAAGAACGTCATGGACTTACAAGCCTTGATCCCTTGCAGTTTGCCAATTTCAAAAAGGACTTTTCTACTGTTTAACTTTTTGAACTGTCAGACTTTCATTCCTCTAACTACTTTGAAATATCTTGGCCACTGCGGGGTAATTCATTTCCTTCTTTGTCACGCACAATTAGATATCGTCAGTTCTTTTATGTGAACGCAAATTTAATTTAAATTAAATTAGTCAGGAATATAACAATTCTGCAAAAGAATTTTTTACGCAAGCGAACTGTCTGCATTCGGAGTATATTCAACAATATTTCGGATGCGGACTCCAGCGAATGCATCTTCCGTAATGATGGAGGTCATGGTCTCTGATCCATCTTCAAGGTCTTATCTTGAGCCAAATGACGCTGAGTCTACAGCCCACCATTCAGAGAATACGTTCGTCAACTGATGGTGCTTACTTGTGTATACGAGCCCAATTATCTAGTTTAAAGTCCTGGTTTCATGACAAGAAGTGGAGATTGAAAACTCCTGCTGCATTAGTGCCCATTATTCTCGTTTTGGTATGCTATCATTTCACGGGCTGCAGTTTTTCTATCTTGAACAATCCCACCTTCTCAAAAACTCTAATAGCTGTATTTCATCACTGCTTACACGATCCCCACTAAATACCTATTTTGACAATGTTCCTAAGGTGGTATTAAAAACAGTATTTATTACTATTATTATCATAAAAACCTGACGGCGATAAATGAACACTTTCAAAACATAAACTTTTTACGAAACACGTGTTTACCGAACTCCACTTTTCTTATGTTTTGACTCAAAAAGTGCTGCCTAAACTAACACACAAATCACTTGTTCTACTAGAGAGCTGGTGGGAGCTTTGTTGAATGAAATTATAATTTAGTATGAGAAACTCGACTTAGTTCAGGAAACGAAATTTTATTTTTATTCAAAAACCTGCTGAGCATCCTGAGCGGATATATGATAACAAAAATATCAAGCGAATATCATTAAATTCCTATCGAAAAATGTTTTTGCGCATAACCTATTCGTTAAAAGATTCTCGACGATAACCCTGGGAGAAGTATCGTAATATTACCAGCAGTTGAGAACATAACAAAAAGCGACACTCTGACCAACCTTTGCCGAAAACGCTTGCTTAGAGTGGGGCCCTGTTTCGGCTTCTTACGAACCTTATTTAAGGCGATTTCCGGACTCTTTGAAGTTAATGCTCAGACACTAAACACGTCTCTAGTTTAACTACAAATTGCAGGTTTTCCCTGTCTTAGGGTACTGCAATCTGCTTTTGGAGCGTACTCTCACGCTGCCCCAACACTCTTCCCGTCGTTTGCGGAAAAGCCCTGCTGTACCCGTTATCCCCGTTCTGGACTGCCATCATTTCACGGGCTGCAGTGTTTTTCTCCTGGGCAACCCCAACTACCACAAAAACCTAAAACCCATATTTAATCCTCAGAAGTTTCTTCACCACCTGCCCTGTTCGCACTGTTTTTCTGTTTTAATAATGTCTCTAAGCTGGCATTCAGTACAATATTTATAATTAATATATGAATCCGGCGAGGATTAAAGAAAGCTTCCGAGGAATATTTTTGCTAAAACATGTGCAACTGACTTCCCCACTTTTTGTACTTTTAAGTAAAAGACGCCATCTGAACTGTTCACACAAATCAGTTGTTTTGGTACAGAACTGACGGGGGGACTTAATCAAATAAATTCATTATTCAATAAAGGCGACTCAACCTAATTTGATGGAAGGAATGTGCTTCATGGTCAAAAGACCTGAAAAGCAGTGTGCGCGGATCCATGGTGACAATGACAGCGGGCGAACAGCATTCGCTTCCGATCGAAAAACGCTTTTGCACAAAACTCATGCGTAAGAGGATTATCTACGAAAAATCTAGCAGAAGCGTCGTGATAGAACCAGCAGTTGTGAGTATTACCCAAAGCAAAACTATGGCCAACATTGCCGAAAACCTCCACTTAAAACGGAACCCTACACCAACGTCTTATGAACTCTGTTTAACGCTACTACCGGACTCTATGAACTTGGTATTCAAACACCGATTACGCCTGAAGGGTAGTCGAAAATTTCAGGTTTTTCTTATCTGAGGGTACCGCAGCCTGGTCTTGGAGCGCATTCACGCACACACTGCTTTAACACTCTCCTCCCATTGGTGTTCGTTTATTGATCGTAAAATGCGCCGCGCCGTCGTGACGCCGCAGGAGCCTTGGAATCGCAATCTGCCCTTGTATCATACAGGAGACATTACGGTGTCAAACGCCGATTCTGCTCACTGCATCAGGGCGCACATTCTAGGTCGCACTATCTTACTTTCGGTCCTCCGCTTCGCCACCCAGCAGATCGCGAGTTCTCTCACGACAGCGAGTTGCACAATGCCAGTAACGTAAGTGGTTTTCCTTTTTCAAATTCAACGTTTGGTCTGGAAACGTAGGATGGCTGATGTTGATTCCCTGATGAAGGTGCTCGACAAGGATAACTCAGGGAATGTCGATGCCAAGGAACTGATGGCAGCACTTTCGGACTTGAACGTGGATGAGGCGGTTTTCCAGGCCTTTATAGACAAGAACGACAAAGATGGGGATGGAAAACTAGACCGAGAGGAATTATATGAGTTCTTCAAGAGTGTCATTAATTAGACGGGCTGTTCTCATAAAACATGATTGTTTGCCCAAGCAAACCGTTGTTTATAGACGAACAAGCAAGAATCTGTAAAAAAGGAATAACTGTAAACTAAAAATTAAAACAATTTTCACCGACCAAGCAAATCCTTCTCTACAAATCCTAATTATTATCTCCTCTGACTGATTTCCACGCTGTTTTAAACAAAAATAGGTGCAAAAGACTTCCTTCTGAAGCGGTTTACTCAGTATGTGTGTGCAACGTGAAACTATAGAAGTAATTGAACTAACGCTGCACCATCGTCCTTTAAGTAGTCAAAAAGTTTATGTTTTTCTTAGAATTTTGACGCATACATAGCTTGTCCCGTTCTGCAGAGGTCAAACTGATTTCGTGAGATCAGCCTTCGAGAATTTTAAAAACAGCCATTCATAATAATCACATATCTGACACGCTGACTGGATGGTTTGGTGGGCAATTAGTAATACTATATAACCCAGTGTACTGTATGTTTGGTAAATCTATTAATGAGCTTGCTTTCATTGACGTACTTTAGCTTTATGTTAAGATTTTAGTTTTCGATTGTTCACTTGTGTGGCTTCTTCTTTAAAGTTGTTTTCACATTCAACATGTTAGTTTTAATTAGCAAATTGTTTTGGACAAGGGTATAAGTATTTTTTATACTACGGGTGACCTGGCTCCCAACACTACTGAATACTAGCTGTTTACAATTTAGTCGTACTGATACTAATGTGCAGGCCTGTCAGAACTATCCGAAAACGTAAATTTATCAAATTTGACTTATTTAAGGTTTACGTGGTCATCACCCCAGAACAAATAATATTACATCGGCAAAATTACAAGGTAGCTATCTAAAACATGACTAACATCGATGCCAACAATTCTTGGCTGTCACCACATAAAAAGCAGTGACCTCAGAAATAACTTCGTAGTGGACTGGTAAGGAATTAGCGGTAGAATGCAAATGAGGCTCATTTCTGAAGACCGATAAGAAGGCCAAGGAGATCAGATTAAAACAATTAGGATATTGCATGCACACAGGTGGGGCGGACGGTATAGATTTAAAAATAAAAGTCAAAAACTTGTCAAAAGTCACTTAAGTTAAGACACGATGTATACACATACGCCGTTCATCAAAGGCTCTCCAATGAAGACTACGTCCGGTTAGCCCAATGGTCAAGTTGTACGCACGCGAATCATGACTGGCTGTTAAGTGCTCTTGTTTTGTGCAATATGTTTGCGTCTGTATTTATATGGGAATTTTCTTGACAGAGCTTGAGAAGGGTGTTTAGCAGGGCAGCCCTGGTTGCTTTAACTGTGATAAAATTGGAAGGATTAGACCCTATAAAACGTAATGCATTTTCGGTCCTTTTCTATTGTACACGGTGGCCTTCGCCAGTTTCCGCTTGAAGGACCGCTACGTTTAATGTTTAACATCATTACAGCGAGCGTTTCGGAGCTTTCTAACTCGTCAAAGGTAATCAGGGAATGTTGCCGCGCTTTCAAAAACATCCTTTTCGATGATCATTGTCTAATAAAATTATAGCCGGAAAGTGGGGTTCTCTGTATCGTACGCTCTAACAGCTAATTTTTTTCTATCTGTTTCAAAAGAGTACGAGAAATGTTTCGTTGGGGTTGAAGTTGGAAATACTCGTGAAGTTTAGACATGGCCTATGTAGGTGCTCTTCTAAAAGACAGCTTGTCTGATCTATTCGTAAACCTTTTTAGACTTCGAGGCATGTGCAAGCAGTAGATGACCGATTAATACCAGGGGGAATTTTATCCGGACGTATAGTTCATTCGGGCTTTTTGGTTTGTCATCAGTCACGAGCAGTGATCTCAGACCCAACTTGGATATTGCCCTCTCCCCTATAAAAGGATTGGTACCAATGGGTTTCCCATCGCCACGAGTGAAATTTCCATACGAAAAAATTGTCAATATAAACACACACGGAAAGGGGACTTTTGCAAGCTCAACAAACTTTAGTAAAGATTCTTACAGCTTTATGTCAGAAGGAGATGTCTGGACCACCAATTATATAAAAATATTAGCTACTTTTGATCGTCTTAAATTACAGAAAATCGAAATACGTCATTAGGTGAAATATACTTTCTTGCGACCGAGCCGAGGACATATAATAAGTTTCGCTTGATCCCACGTCTCAAGACAACTTGCATTTATTAAACGTATATTTTGAACTTCTCCTCGCTGGGGCCTGGAGAATCGTAAAAATGTTTTTAGATGACTTGGAGCAGCTGTCAGAATGATTGCGAAAGATATTTTGAATTTCATGACAAAACATTTGTAAACAGACGAGTTGATTTAATTGGTAGCCACAACGAAATGTAATGATGCCGTGGTACGCAATATGGTAATGGAAAATGCATGCAAACAGGCGGCATTGACTCTTGGAAAGGTGATAACAAAGGATATTTTTGCTCTTACAAAATGAGTTGTCCGTCAGCTGCATAGATAACCTCCGACCAGCGCGGAGGGCCTTACGTCGTCAGGCGAAAAGATAAACACTAAAACTGATTTAGACCATAATTTTCATGCGCAGTAACTATTTTGGTAGAAAACGTGAAATACGCAATATAAATAAGCAAAACGCCTTACATCAGTCCATGTTAAATTTGCTCGGAATTATCTCGCGGTAAACTAATATGATAAAATTTTGGAGTTTAACAGACTTAACAACCGCCTTAGACAAGACTGTCAAAATATGAACTAAATTCTACTTCCAGGAGATTTTTTGACATTTGCAGTAGGATGACCAAACATCACAAAGAACGAAACAGGTGATCGTCCTCGTACAGATTCAACAATCGTCTGATTTTTTAAATGGGGATTCCAGTTACCACGTTCTCATCAATAGTTGAGCTAATTTACGGAATTGCTGCGTTAGAGGACAGCGGAAATACCAGTTGAAATACTCAATTGCTTTTAAGATAAGCAAATGTATGTTACCTAATTAGAGTGAATGCTTCTTTTGGGTTTTTTCCGGTCGACAGACCTAGAGGTCTGGAGAAGTGGACGTCGTTCGTAGCCGCCAGCGATCCAGTAGTTTGGCGCCTGAGCCCTTCGATAGCTCCGTTCGGCGTTCAATTAAAGGCTTGTCTGACTGGACCACCTCCTGCTAATTATTAGCATTATCTCGGCAGTACACACTCCCTAATAGAATTCCCAGCTGGCGGCGTATGTTGCCCAGGTTAACTGCAGTCTTGCTGTCAGCGTAGTTGAAATTATGGTTAAAAATTAACCGCGCCGTAGCCCATCATCTGCAAAATTATCCCCTCTTCACAAAGTAGGTGCACTAACTCATGAGATGTTAACAGAAATTCCGAAATGCATTTTAGTTTCGAAAAGAATACCTAAATAGGGTTGTAAAATTAGTCATTTTGCAGCGTAATTCTATGATTATTCAGTTACCTCTGGATGTCGGCTTTCAGCCAAACGTGTTTCCGACCGCATGCGAAAACCACATTCTGTAAAAAGTGACTGCATAGGTAGCATGACTTTTTCTCATTTAATTTTGATGCCCTTATAAATTCAAATATATTTCATAGAAGGCATGCATAAGAATGCACATTCGTTTACTTATCTGGTAGAAAAGTATGTCCTCTTCCAATTTAATACTCGAAGGATGGTTGTAATTCAGTTTTCAAGAATCTTATAAGTATGAGATTTTTCAATATCCTGAAATGACCGTTCATAAAACATAGTGTTTTTGCATTTGCTAATGCGGCTTGTATGCTTTACAACATTGTTCAAATCCACTCCTAAATTTTATGAACCCATATGGTCTCCTCCTAATGCAGTAGGGAAATGTGCGGTATATTGTACGCGGAAAATACATAGCATTTATTTTGGAATTACTGAATGAAAATGTAATGGCGGGTCAGAACAAAAGTTACTCGGAAATCAGAAAAGTTTTTTAAAACCGAATTATACCCTTTCTTTTTGTATTAGATTAAAAGAAGACGTAGTCTTCTACGAGATAAGCAAACGAATGTGCATTCTCATGCATGTTTTCTATGAAATATATTTGAATTTATAAGGACAGCAAAATTAAATTGGAAAAATTTGTGCTACTTATACAGTCATTTTTTACAAAGTGTGGTTTTCGCACGCGACCGGAAGTTCGTTCGAAAGCCGACATCCAGATTGTTATCATACCTTTGTCCATATAAACAGACCGCTGAGGCCCAAATTGCTTTCTGTATACGTATCAAAACGTCCGCCAACCGCCACTAGAATGTCTATATTGAATCGACAAGCGAAAAAAAGATTTCTTCAGTAGTTAATTTTCTTAAGAGCGATTTCGATTTCAATTCCCATAGACCGTTTTGTATCATATAACTTGTCCTACTGATATGCGACGACTACGTGCAGTTAAAAAATCGTAATATTTTATGATGTTAATAAATTCTGCTTATTTCCTCATATCTGTCTTGTTTAAATGCATTCCGCTAAAGCATTATCTTCATTTTAAGTGAGGTTAATGCCTACAACGTAAATGCACAATCGAAAGTATGTCACCGTTAGGACTACCAATCAATGATGCATCTTTGCTACGGTGCATGAGACGATGCCTATACCGTTTTCACTAATGATTTATCATGTTCGTCTGATTTTGCAATGAGCCAGATTGTGCGTAAATCTTGTTTTGCAGCCGTTAACGGGTTGTTACTGCGGAGTCGGGGAGAGGGTTCTCTATGTGAATAATCCCCATTCCTAGCGTTACAACACTACATTTTTGCAGGGTCTTGGAAACCTGCCAAGTAACTGGGTACTTTTGAGTAGCGACCATCCCTTGGTCCCTAGTCTGATGATTAATCGCGGTAAACGGTGGGATACTAAAAAGGGGCAAGTGAATAATCTGCTGAACCATGATGATCGAGATCTGGGCGTTCAGCCTACGCTTTAATTAGGAATTCGTTCTTTTAGCCTGACGCTTCAGACAGAAGTCATGATGTTAATTAGGCCTCCCTTATATCC